CAGAAATAAGAAAACTGTGCCATGGCGCCTGAAGACTGGCGAATTAATGTTGCGAAATTTGATTGAGTTAATTGGCAAAGCAGACATATGCCTGCTGAAAACAACTTTGTCTGACTTTGTTGTATAAGAATCTAAGAACTGAACTGAACGGGCCTAAGCTAGTTGATAAAATATGACCCTGTTGGAATTGATGCGAGTTTTGTTTCTGTATCAAGGGTTTTTTTATATTGCAAGCATGTATCAAACTTCGAACATTAAAATCTCAAAATCCAGAGAAGATTTGACAACCAAAATTTTGATTTCAAAAAAATAATCTAGTAGTTGGAGAATCTTAATAATTATTAGGCCGATACCATTGCTTCCAGTAGGTTCTTCAGTTATGCGAGCATTCATTTATAGAACCTGTTTCATTAACAGGTGGCTTTAAACCGTTGGAAATTTTTACACTAATTTTTTTTATAAGAAACTGGCTATAAGAAACGAGAACTGGACAGTCAGAAAAAACGAAGTAACTTCAGTACTCGAAGCAAAAAAATTAAGAAACTATTAAATCGTGATAAAACTGAGAACAACTAAATTTTGTAAAATCCAAGATCAAGATTGCCCTGTTGGCCTAGAACTTAAGACATACTTCCCACATCTAAATACAGCATCGGAACAGAAGCGAATCTTATGACGTGATAGAAAAGGTCACGAACATTTCATAACATCATTCATGACATCACAATTAAGAAACTCTTAAGAAACAATATGTATTGAAATTTCCAGAACATTAAGAAACTGGGTACTCAACATCGACCTTTATAAAAAATGAGTGTATCTCAATATGTTGTAAATTTTTATATAGGAGTTGTTTAATCTTTACTGAAAATTTTCAAAGTTGATTGATAATCTTTATAAGCTACTCTCATGCCCTTTCATAAATCCTTTTTGTCAGTCAAAATTCTTTTAAAGGTTATGTTTGTCTCCAATTTTGCTTATGATAGATGTATCCTTTTATTTAGCTGAAAATAACTTTTACTTTTTGTGTACAAAAGTTATCAATTTTTTCCCCAAAATCTTGTAGTCATTAATCGAAACAAATATTTTGATATCTTGCAAGTTAAACCAATTGCTCATTTCCTTTTGGAGAGGAAAAATGATGTTGTCAAAAATATTGGAAGAAATCAATAAATAACTAACATGTGGCTGCCTTTTGCAGTGGCATATTGAAAGATTTGCAGTTCTTTTTGTAAGCACGAGATGACTTCAAAAACTTGCATCTTTCTGTTTATGATATTAGAAAAGTCTTTTATTGCAAAATTGTAATGCTTACAAATTATTTTATTAGATCATGACTTTAACCTTTCAAACATCATTTAGCAGTTGTTCGAGAAAAGTGTTATAAATTAAATCTGAAAATAATTCCAGAGAAATAAAATCTGCTTACAACAGCATCTTAGTGTCACGGGTTTGTTTTCATTTACAATAGTTAGAACTGTATTTTTGATTTCGAAAGATTTTTGACCTCGAAGATGTCGAAAGAATTGTATCATTGCTATCATAAAATAATTTTCATGAAAACCTATTTCTAGATAAGAACATCATGTCAACATGTAATCATTCATACTATCAAATGAGCCGGTTTAATGCTATTATTTCCATCCTTTTTCATAAATGTAAAAATAGAATTACATAAACAGAAAGACATCATCTTTTTAATGTTGGCTGTATAACTTTATATCTATCTACTTCTGATGGAATCAAATTTAACATAACTAATCATAACCTTAATTTTCATTACTACGAAAACTTTAGCTGCCTTTGCCCAAACTTCTCATTCTTGATAAATGATATTTTTATCAAATACCTTTTTGTTGAATGATATCTTTTTTCTTAAAATTGGAGCATCCAAACAATTGGACAAAACCTAAATTTGTATAAAATGAAAGATTTATAAACTATCTCAATTTTTCGACGAAGACATAATTTTCAGGAAAGAAAGGACACAAATTTTCTTTTGGTAGCCGGCTTATAAGAGCCTTAATTGATAAAAGATTCATCTCTGTATCATTAACTCAATTCTTAGCATAAATTACTCTCAAGAGGATCGAAACCACTGCAATCACCGTAATTAATTATCTGAACAAGTCCCTTTTTTATTACCATGGAAACCGTTTAGTGAAATTGAGATAATTCTGCCTCAGTTTTTAGAATATTAGAGAAGATCGTATCTCTGTTTGGTATTACAAAATCAAGAATTGAAAATGGCAATAAATGGTGGGAAAATTAAATACTGAAGTGGTATTTTTTCCGACACTATTTTGATAGAAGCGTCAGGTAAGAACCAAAAGTGAGCAGAATATGGAGTGCTATTAAGATATGAAGGCGTTGGCGAAGGTGAAATGAGAAGATTAAACACGTGCTTGATTGGTTCTTTTCAAATCTACAGATTAGACTCTTCAACTAGGTGAGGAGCTATTTGTGGCTTATTAGTGACTTCAAACTTTCAAATACCTCAAAGAGAGTTTCCATCATTTCTTGAAAACTGATCATTAAAAAAATGTGTCATCGAGTCCATCTAATTAAATGATTCCATTAGATTTCAAATCAAGTTAATGTTTAAACAATGCACAAAATTGAAGACTTGTTAATAAAGCTTCAGAATTTGAAAAAGTTGTCAATATAGAGGAAACGCGGAAAATTTGTATCTAACATAACCCTCTTATCTTTCATATTTTATTAATGACGAGAAAAACATATTTTAAACCTTCAATTCTGTTTTAGTGTTTGTTTCGGCCCGGCATTTGTCGCCTGGGGTGATGGGTGGGCGGCATATTTGACATTGTCTCGTTTCTGTAAAGATTGGCAGCCTGACAATTTTCTAGGATTTTTGCAACATGTCAAGGGCAAACTAGCCCCAGATGAGCGCACTATGTCTAACCGTACATGAAAAAATTTATCGATATTTTTTTGGATACATTAATTTTAATGACCGGATAAACCTTCTACAATGATAGATTTAGGATTCAATTTTCTTCTCCGTTTAAGCTTTAAGAAACAGTTTTGTAGGAAAACACGAATCACCTACAATTGCATTCGTCAGTCGAGCACAACAAGGTAATAGCAATATTTACAATTTGTCTTTTCATTTGATAAAATTTCCTGTAAACACATGTGTACTAATAATGATAAAAATAATAAAAATGTTTTTAATAAGACAGGGTAACCTTTTTAACAGACTGAGTGCTGTTATCAATAAAGGCCCTGTATCTAACTGCATTATACTACAATGAAATGTTAAAATCAAAGAAAATTGTGATAAATAGGTAAAACTGTTTAGGAGCATACACTTCCCTCAAAATAGTATTGCACCACCTCGAAGGAAAGGAAATGGCGCAAGAATTATCGAAAGCTGTTGTTATGCAAATTGATTGTATTTGCGAATGGGAGAGCGTTGGAAGTGAAGCAACCACCAATCAAAACTTTAATCTTTTCAGAGCAAGTTTAAAAAAACTGTAAGAAATGTCTTTTAACAGTTTTAAATTTTGATTCTGATAGGAGCCACGAACTTTTGTAACAGCTTTCTGCCTTCTTGAATTGGTTGCATATAATTTGGCAATATATTGTGGTGGAATTTGCTGTCAAACCTGAAGAAGTCTTTTAATTAATGATTCTTTAGTTAATGATAAAGAAACATTTGAATTATGGTTTGTAATGTTTTTCATACGAAGGCAAACACTTTCAACTATGTACAAATCTGGACTTGATGGACGCCACGGAAGAACTTGAATTGTTCTTGTTTGAAAATATATCGTTGTGAAAATGGCTTTCTTTTGCTCAGGTAACTTTTGATTTTGTATTTGTGTAAGACATCTATTCTAATTTGTCTAGAAAGATTCTGAGCTAAAAAGCCTTGCTCAGTCTTGAGTTCCATAACCTTTTGTGTCCCTACGTGTAAACGGCGTGAAGTGAAACAGACAAATTCTTTCCCCTCTTACATCAATCTTTTGTAAATGTTTACTGTTCCACTGCTGGGTTCTTTGCAACTGAAACACTCCCGAGAAAACAGATAAATTGTCAAAAAGTTGATAAAAAGTGCCGCCATTTTGAACAAGATGGTGCTATACTTTTGCGAGGTGAGTGTATATTGATTCTAACTGACCATATCAAACAGTTCTATTTTTTCTAAAAAAACTGAGTCAGGCTGGTGTACGCTGCTCGGACGTTCATCGAACACCTTTGGACCTTAAAACCTCTTTTCCTGTTTCTGTTTTAACTCTTGGGTTTTGCGCTGCATATTTGTTGTCTCGAGTATTCTGATTATAATTATGAAGTGTTTAACACATTTGTTCATAACTTCTATAGATGTTCTCTTTAGACATCTAAAGACAAGGAGACATGCCTTGTATTTTTGCTGCTGTTGATAGAAATTAGTTTGCAATCTCTTAGTGGTTTTCTGAAAATAATCTTTACAGCCCTGTTTTGAAGTGATTCAAATCATCTACGTATCTTTCGGCACTTTTCAGGACAAGAGTAAAACAGTAAAAGTCCCTGGTACAATGACTGCCATTCTGCAATTTTAAAGTGTGATTGCAAGAATCAAAGGAACAAACAAGTGTATTGCTCCAGAAATCAGCTCGTGTTTTGTGCATCAAATAGACAAAAATACTAGAGGTAACAAACCGCTATATTGCTCATATTGCTTAGAAGGGGGGGGGGCTTACGCAAGTTGAAAAGGGGGGAAGGGAACAAGGGATCTTTAAACAATGATTACAAAATTATTTTTAAAAAGCTCCATTGTTTTGCAAAAAAAGTTTTGCGAAAAAATTCTATTTACATACTTGAGAATTATTTTCTTGTCGTTACACCTTTTGGAATCCTTGATTCCAAAAGACGTATTTGATCTACTAAATTATGTAAACCAAATCAAGCATTTATTTGATTTATAAGCAAACTGCGGCACAAAACGATGGGTGCATAATTAGCTGAACTAGGAATATCAACAAACTAGCTCTTTACTAAACTTGTATGAACCACGGCTGGAAAGCGCCTTCCTCGAATTCAGGCACCATTTCAGTCAGCGGATCTTGACATGCCATGCGGATTCGTTCTGCCGTTGCTGGTGCCTCTAGTTTGAAGATTCCATTGTAGCCGGCATCTTTACGAGCATACCTAATGGCATCCCTGATTGCAAAAAATGCAGATGCGGAAAGAAACAATGGTGGCTCACCAACAGCTCGCGAAGAATAGAGGGCCCTTACGTTTGGAGAGCCTGCAAACAACATTAGCAAAACATTAAGCAAGAAGTAAGTAAATCCAAATTCTTAATGCAATAGCTTGTCAGTTATAGAAATTTTGATAAAATTCGCTCTCTAGTTTTCTCCGAAATATTAAAAAAATAAAAAATGAAACATAGCAAATGTAAGTAACAAACCGCTGAGGAGAGAAACGTTGAATTCTTCAGGCATATCACCAAAACCAGGTATTTTGTACGTCGATGGACCAACTGTCAATGGCACTCCATTTGGTGTATGTTGGAATTGTTCCAGTACAAACAGGCCATAGCCCTGCATAAATGCACCCTCAATCTGACCAATGTCAATAGCAGGGTTGAGTGACTCCCCAAGATCCATCACGATTTCAGTGCTGAGTATTTTATTGTCGCCTAGAATATTTTTGAAATTTTTTTAGCTAATTGCTACACTCCAGTAGGCTTTCACGTTTTGCTGGAAAAGCAAGATCCAGCACAAAAACATAAATCCCTAAGTGCAAAACAGAAGACTTACATGCCTCTTTTATCCCAGCATCTCAACAGTTTATTTCTAAAATTCATCAATAAAGGTTTTTGGAAACAATTTTATTAAATTGCTTTGTTTTTTTTGTTTTTAACCTTTTTTAATTCGATATCGCTTCTAGATATACATACAAAAATATAGATGTATACACATACAACTAATCTAAATCAAATCTCATGTACAACAAATGAAAAGAAAATAACTCAGGAAATAAATACGGACATACATAAGCTGAATATTTAAAGCAACTTGCATATGAAGGTCAAAATTTACAGGATATCGATATCATTATATTTACAAATGTTGCATTTACAACTAGGACCATCCCATCATTTTATCATACGTTTGAAGCTGTTAAGATTGTCAGCTGATTTTAGTTCAATTGGCAGACAGTTCCAGATCTGTGGTCCCATGGCTTCAAGGCTCTTAGAACCGAAAGTTACTTGGTTTGGTCGAAAACGGTTCTTGAACTATAAATGCCATCCATAAAAGGTGGATTCAAACTTTTAGTTGTCTTAAATATTTCGATACAGAGGGTTCTCTGATGAGCAAATTGCATTGTACACTTTTTTGACCTAGTAAGAAGATCGTCATAGGAACTTTTATTATCATTTTACAGAAGACCTTAGCGCGCGTTCCGTTATTCTTTAAATTTTCTGAAGTGATTTTGAAAAATGAGAAATACAAAACTAAAGGAAATTAGAATTCGGATACACGAAACTTTGAACCAGAACCTTTTTTCAGTGAAACCAATCAATGGCTTGAGTCGCTAAAGAACGTCCAGTTTAGCCTTAGCTTTTTTACAAAGGTTTGATATATGTGAGTCAAGGTTCAACATTTAGTCTAGTGTTAAACCTACGAGTTTAACATTCTCTTCAGATTTGATAGAATATCCTGGAAAGTCAAGATTTATGCCACAAGTATTTGTCTGGTCTTTTTTAACAAAAAGTGCATGGAATTTGTTCGGGTTCGCAATCATTTCACTTCGTTCGAGCCATGACAAAGCGCTGTTGGCTTCATTTTCCAAAACCCTGACGAGATCTGGGAAGGATTTGGAAACGAAAGCAAACGTGTTGTCATCAGCATGATTATACATGGTTGCTTGCTTTATAAATTGAAAATTGAAATTGAAAAAATAGGACCTAAAACTGATCCCTGCGGTACTACTGATAAAATTTCTCAAAAGGAAATGTAAACGTTATTTATTCCGACACTCTGCTTCCGTTTTTTAGATAAGAATAGACAAGAACCGGGCATTTTCATCAAAACAAATGCTAAACAAATTTTTTTCTAGAAGGTATGGCTTGCGAATGCAAAGCAGCAAGAATATTTTGTGAATCTTTTCAATCCTTTCATTAGCTGATAATACTCTCATTTTAGTTTAAATAATGTTGAAAACTCTTTCTAGCATTAAAAAAGAACAAGAATATATGTAGTATGTATTAATGTATAATTCGCCACAAAAAATCTTATTTACAAATCATAAAAACCTAAAAAGATTATAATACATTTATATAAATAAAAAAAGACAAACACCCCTAGTTTCAGTGGCAGAGATAGCATTTAACGGTCTAGCCGACCTTATTTCTTTAATGGTCTCCTTAGAGGCGCTGGATTAACAGCAAAAAGGGAAAAAAGGATGGTACAGGAATCTTTTCCTGTCGTTAGTTACAAACCGGGCTTTATTAGTGACAAGTATGTCATCGTTTTTACAAATTTTTGGAAAAAGTTTTGTTCCATCTTGTGCTTGAAGTTGTTAAGTCTCCTGTTTGAAAGAAAATGATAACCATTGGAGAGCACAGTAACTCATGGAAATCAACGGCTTAATAAAGCAGTCATTTTGAATAACAGACTGTGAAATCAATTTGTTTTAAGGAAGCACCATCACAGGGAATTGGAGAGTATGACGCAAAATTATCAACTATACTATTTCTTGCAATTCAGTACAATTGGCTTTAATCTAAAATTTTTTGAAATTGATCAAGCTAGTTCATTTAAACTTAAATAATATTCATTTGAGTATTCTGAATATTTGAATAAACATTTAAAACCAAATTGCAATATTGACGTGTTTTAGTCAACTGAGCATAAGATAAAACATTTCAAACATTTCAAGCAAACTTTTGTCAACCAGAAGGTACATCAAACACTTTTAAGATGTACTGATAAGTTCTTAAGTGTTGATTTTAGTGCTGATTCTTTCATGCTGTGGGTCCTCTGCAAGATGTTACATTTGTCCGGTATTGCTTTTTCCGAAATTGTAAGTCTAGTTCGAACTTTGATCTTCGCATTGTTCCGACCTTATTGACCGTTCCTTTTAACAATTTCACAATGTCAACACAGATATAGTGGTCTATCCTGTTGTTTGCTAGGAGCTAATTAATAGCCTCTAATTGTGACTCTAATATTGGCTGTGTTTTTTACGTTCAGATGAAAATGGAATGCATTTGTTTAGCGTAAACTGATTTTTTTGGACAGCCCTTAATTCCGCAATGGGCACCAGGACGAGCAGACATAGTCGAAAGAGGCTGAATAAAAGCATCTAAAAGCAACCTGCTAAGAGGCTTATCAGATTTTTTTGCTTCCGTTACAGAAATTATAGCTTGCCATTTAATTATTCAAACACACTAGCTGCCTTTGTTGCTCCAGAAAAGGTTTTAATTCAGAACACATCCTAGATATGTGACTATTTAGTTCTGCTTAATCTTCATATCGCCCCTCCTAATGTCCAACTTGCAACTTGAGAATTTGCCACGAAACAGCCTAATGAAGATGCAGCTTCTAACACCCTTCAGCTAAATCCTTAATACCCTTGCATTTCATAAGATAACCACATCACAGCTAAGAATTGGAAGCTTTGGGCTATTTTTAAAATGTCCAAAATGTCCATCATTTTTAAATATGTCGTGCTTTTTAGAATGCTTCTTCGATCAAACCATAATTTTTATTGTTTGGGCCACCAGTTGGAAATAGCCATTAAACCATCCCAATCTACATAGGCAGGGCATTCCTCTCAACCATCGACCGCATTGCCTAACCTTTGTTTTCTCGGCTGATTATGGAACACTATGGTATAACGAATAATTTAAGCCCTTACAACATTTTCAAAAACTCATCAAAGTCACGTTACCGATGACGTCAAAAAGGTTATGTTTCCTAGTATCAAAACCATTGTAACTTCTTAAGTATACGTCTGACTTCATTATAAACGCTAGATTCGGGCTCGCCTGAAGAAGAGCTTTCCAATGGTATATACATATCAGTATTTTAACGATGTCAGCAATTTTCAATGATGACGTCATCACTTTCAAAATGGCCGTCGACCAGCGAGCTGACTCTGATTTTGCTAGGCACAATTTGGCATTATCGCGATTTGACATTATGCATGATTTTGCTTGACACTTTCTTATAACGGAGAAGAAGCCCCTTCTTCGCCATCCACAGTTTTTCATTATTATTCTTTTAATTTTATTAATTAAACCTAAAATAATTGTTTCCGAAGACCGGACCTGAAGCCGTCCGTACGAAACCGACCTTGCACAAAGGCCAAGGCATTGGCATTGCCAGGAGGTAGGAGGGAATAGTTATTATATAGTTTATTACTTTGTTTAATACCCCTGACAGGGCTAGATAACTTGCCAATCACTCATAAGGTGCCTGTCTATCCAGTATGCAAGGAATATACCTTGATTCTTTCTTAGATATGATCTTGACATATTTAATATTTTTGTTCATGCGGATGAAATGGGGAAGGCAAAGATAAACCAAAATATGTGAACGAATGCTGACTTGTATAGCCAGGTCAAGGTGCTGATGGGTTGCTTTTATCAATTCATGGGTTTACCAACGTCTTTTCCAAAAAACACACACAGTTAATGCCCATAGGCAATGGCAGATTGATGCAAAAAACTGTTGATTCTTGAAAATCGTCAAAAAAACTGAAAAGTGTCTTGAAATCGCTAAGCTGGACAATTTGTCTGCTTTGTTGAGCATGGTAGCAGCTTTGCAGAAAAGCAACACTAAGCTACTTTTGCAAACAGTGCGAAATATGATTATGCTTACATTTGCATTGAATCACATCAACTATGCCCGCTACTGTGCATACCAGCATCTGCTTTTCCATTGCACTTCAATCATTACAGGGTGAGGGTGAACAAACTACAGCATTCCAAGATTGGAATAAATAAGGATTTGGCGGAAATTTCAAAACAAATTATCTGCAATTCATTGCGATTTACATACAGAGCTATTTAATAAAGAAGCTGAAGGGACTGCAGGTCCATACAGGTCTGGCTTCAGCAAACGTTAATGCGGTTAACACTTGGATTGCTACGTCCCACATTCATAGCAAGTTTAGAGGGGCTCTGGAGCAATACTTTTTCGTAAAGTCATCATCAATTCACAAGTACAGCATTCCAGGTGGGACAAAGCTCCTTCAGAAGCATAATGATAGCCTTAGAGAACTCTTCAAAGCTATGTAACCAATCGGCTTTCTGCTGCTCCTGCAAAATCGACTTTAACTGGTGAAGAATTAGATTAATAAAATTCTACTGACCTCCTTGCAGCGTCGATCATGGGAGAAGAGAATATGCATCGCTTCACAAATGATCGCCTGATTAATGGCAGCGTTTAATTCTTCACGCCGATCAATAAAAACAAAGCTGAAGACAGATCTGGAAAAGGTCAAGGAACACAAAACCGTGGTCAAGGAACACAAAAACAGGCCTTTAACTACTCATTTTGAAGGCAGGAAGTCTACTAGAGGCATTTACTCATCCCCTGACAACCGTTCCTCTTTCAATTACTATCGATACAGCTGGTTTAACTTTGTGTCAGTCAGACAAAGTAACTTTGCAACGACTCTTGCTCG